TCTTGGAAGGCACCTTTTTCTGCCCGAAACAGACTTGGTGCCTCCTCCGTCCTCACCACCCTCGATGGTGGGGCGGCCCAAGTGTATGTGGACATCCCCCCAGTCGAGCACGCTATTGCTATGCAGCTCTGCCCGCAAAGCGCCGCCGGCTGAAGAGGTAGTCCACGCCTTCCGTCCAGGGACTGGAAGTTCTCGTCCGCGTTGACGGCTAAAGCTTACAGTGCTGCTGGACAGGCCGTTTCCACCCTGCACGCCATGGCCCTACTGCAAGTCCACCAGGCCAAGGCATTAAAGCAGTTGCACGAGGGTGGTGCTGACCCAGGTGTGCTGCAGGAACTGCGGACCGGCGACGGACCTCGCGTTCCGGAGGAGGGCCGGGTGAAGAATCTTTTGTTCCCGTTTGTTTCTGTTCCGCCACTGGCTACCCAGCCGGTGGTACCCAAAACTTCAATAAAAGAGCAGTTTCCTTGGCCTGCGGGTCCCAAGAGGGCGAGGATGGCGGTGCACGAGACCCAGTCTCCACACGGCCGTCCCCCTCTCCTTTCACCTATGGGCAGCAGGGTCCGGTTCAGGGACACTATGCCTCCTCACGAGCCCCCTGCCCAGCTGTGGAGCCAGGTAAGTGGCGCGCCGCGCACTCAGACCCCACCCTGGGATGCACGGCCTCCCGGGTTGGGTCCCTGTGTTCCACTTTGCTGCCCCACTGCGGGTACGTTGGTGGTTTCCCTGGTCCCACTTGTTCGGTCGCTGGGCGCCTGGTTAGCGCTCCCCAGGCCGTCCCGCTGGCTCATGAGAACCATCAGACTCGGCTACGCGATTCAATTCGCCCGCCGTCCTCCCAAGTTCAGGGGCATTCGGTTCACCTCTGTGCTGGACAGGAATGCTCCTGTCTTGCATGCAGAGATCGCGGTCCTGCTGGCGAAGGACGCGATACAGCCGGTCCCTCCAGCTGAGATGAGGTCAGGTTTCTACAGCCCATACTTCATCGTACCCAAGAAAGGCGGTGGGTTACGACCAATCCTGGACCTGCGCATACTGAACCGGGCCCTTCACAAGCTCCCGTTCCGGATGTTGACGCAGAAACGCATCTTTCAATGCGTCCGTCCTTTCGATTGGTTCGCAGCGATCGACCTCAAGGACGCGTACTTTCATGTTTCGA